CTGACATGAACAAGTCGTATTGTAACGAGATTGCCTGTGTTGATGATATCGAACGTACCAAATTGATCATTCGTTGCTCCAAAACATGTCACTCCTGAGTTGAATTTGACCCAGTGCACTGGTGAAAAAAAACCCGCTATCAGTAAAAAGTTGTACATTAAGACAAATCAGTGTGCATTGGTAAGTGTAAATTGCCCTGAGTGATACTCGCGGTTAAACACCCTTTGCGGGATAAGACTTTGTCACACCTGATGAAGATTATAGTGACGCAGGGTATTATGGGTTCGAATTCTACTTAAGATTGCGAGCCAAGCCGAGAGACTATAGGGTCTGGGTACCAGAATGAAGCAACCTTTTATTACTATTCCACGGCAAGAAAAGCTAGAAATGGTTTGATAAAATTTCTTTTGTAAATGGATTCATAATTTACACTGCGCCACTAGCTTCACAATACACGAATTAAGTAACAATAGGCCTTTTGCATGAAACGGTCACATGGTCACAAAATCCGCCACACTGGATGGCAAAAGAATGTAAACAAACTCAAAAACAAAAGGAACGCAGCCTGTCAAGCTTGACTTTTCTTTGTTTTGCACATCCCAATGGGTATTTTGCCATCCAATATGGCGGATTTTGTACCATGTGACCGTTTCATGCAAAAGGCCTATTTAATGCACATACTCGTTTGACATCGATTTCCCGAGAATCCAAGCGGGCAGTCGCATGTGATTTCACGTGTTCCTATGGCGGTGGTACATTTGCCTCCATTTTGACAAGGATTACTGCTGCACGGTTCCTGAAATGAAAGAACGGGATATGATTAACATACGAACTGACTATTGCAAGCAAAAGGACAGATGATTTGAAGGCATGTTAAGCAATTGTTTTACTAGTACCAACATGTAAAATATGGGAAAAGACGCGCGAACAAAAAAAATCGCAGATTTGAATATATTAAAAGCAATTAAAGTATTGTTTGCGGAGCAAATGAGTTGTTTGTGCTATAAGCATAAATTGGCAAATTAATCACAAGATTTCAACACTTGTTTCATAAAGGCGAGGAGAATGTACGACAATTAATTTATGTACCAATTTACAATATGATCGAAAGCTTATGAATCTTTTCTTTACATGGAAATGCGGCTAATTGTTTGACTTTTGATTCAAAAAAGTTCCCTGCTTCCTTTTACATAAAATTMATCAAACAAAACTAAGCCAACATCAAAGAGAGAGAAACTGATGATTTGAACAGTAGGCGTTGACAGTGTGTGAGCAAAGCGSTGCTGAATAAAGAGAAAGCAGGAATAGATCTAACATCACTTGATGAAGATACGATAAAGCATGACAGCTCCTTAGTCAGATATTTAAATAGTTAAATCAATATTGGTAAACTGCCTTGCTCTGAACCAAACAACATTATCTTTTGAACTATGTTTTCAAACTGATTTGACAACAGACGATTTTGGAATCCAATGGGCTATCAAATCCGCATTTTTCACCATCCATTGTAATAAATGGCTTCATATGTAACATTGGCATTGATAAACGTTTTCGTACAGTGACGAGGCACATACATGCAATAGGTTTGCTGATGCTTCCGCTCTAGCCAGATAACGCCTTTTTACTTTCCGTATATTGACAAAAGGACACTATGTGTTTTTTTACAACAATTAGTACGCGAGCAAGCTTTAGTGGCATGAAAAAAAAAACAATGAATTAGCTATTCGACATATAGGCTTGAAAACAAAGAATAGGATAATGCGGCCCAATTGGCTCAATAAAAAATACTCAAAAAGAAACAGAATAATGAGTCAATGAATTTCAATCAAACGGCTTAAACTRCAGTAACACAATGATACGTTCATRCCGAGTCATTATACTGAAAATCCGTTGCGGCTAATTCTCGRCATTGSACAGGTGCACATTTCCAGCAGGAATGRAAAAAGACAAATTCCACTGTTCAAAAATATCAACGTTTAATCCTGCGATTACCTAACGGGGATTACAACCACGGTCCGGGTATTACCTACCGGGTAAAACATCTGATAATGGTGCAACTTTTTTGATACAGTAAGAGATGYTTCCATCATGTCGACTGTAAGCAGCTGACATGTAYGTCKACCAACCAYATCTTGTCCTGCACCAAAATTGAACGATTTACACTGACTATTCCTGGTACAGGCCTGAGCGCATTCCAATTGCTGTTTGGCTTTGAAAACTCTAAAGAATGTAGAGCTTGACAATGCTTGATAGGGATGACAAATGAAGAAACTAGTACCATGTTGAGCATGGWTAAAGTTAAGGAAAGCAATAAGTAGTATTAGATGTTTTGAACTTAATGCTAAGTCGTTGTACAAGCTTTTCAATAGAATTTGCGGCATCTTTGGATGTAACGTCTCTTCTCAATTTCTTTGTAGTTTCTTTTTTAAATGAAGCAACAACATGTTCGTTATTACTTATGGTACAATGACAGTAGTTCTCCTAAAGGCGTTTCCTTTTGATGAGAATACCTTCCAAAATGACCACCAAAATAAGACAATATCCCCAATCAAAACATGCTACGCAGTTGAATCAATATCTTGTGGAGTATCTTSAGATTTTGCAAGTGATATCTAAGGAGCCAGCGTCCAATGGCTTATRTTTTAATTTGACATGGAAAATAAGGTTTTGTTTGGATAGTAATGCACCTGTTTGCTTCGTTTGCTCGAAAATGACAAGAGCTCTGATATCACTTGAATTCAGTAKAAAAGTTTTGAAGGGAAAAGCATTACATTGTATACCTTTTCAACTTCAGAAATAAAAAATACTGGGAAAAAAAACCCTGAAAAGGTACTTTATATTGATGATTAAAGTTAAGGAAAGGGAGTGTTTGCATAAAGAAAGATGAATGTTTCGCATTGCCACTACGCCAACCAGGGCCACATAATTAAATGAATTGCCCAATCACATTGGAGCATTTGGAACTACTAAATATTGTACTTTMACCCAATAAATCAGTGCCAGAAAACACTATGCACTGCAAAATACGTGATTCTTCACAAAGAAGTCAATGAAGAGAGAAGAAAGCCTTCCATTGCTGCTTCTGCGGCTTTTCTGATACCTATCCCACGAAGAAGAGTCACATCTCACTGATTTTCGTTGGTGATAATAAGATTATTGTTTGATTAAAGACAATACATATTTTTTTAAACAATYAAAAAACATTTTCTTCAGAACAACACTGATTTATTAAATAATAATGCTAACTACATCATCACAAACCATAGCAAATATATATAACTACCAAACAGCTTCCGACAATACGTGTCATCATCACTAGGGTAAACATCGTTAAACACAACAATCGCAGTGTTGTTCTTCATGTAGCTCATCAGCAGACCATAATATCCTGTTCACATAAAGCCTATGTGATGATGACTTAGTCTGTCTCCCTCAAGTTGCAATGGTTCTTAAATCATCCAACGATACAAAACTATACCTTATAAGGTGCTGCAAAAGTGATGATACTTAACCCGTGAAAGACCATTTTATAATAAAATCCCCCTCAAGGAAATTTTCAACAAAGCAAACATTTAACGCAYTGGTAATGAGCGTTGCTCCATCAAGTCTGCCAAAAACCCTTGATTCATACACGGTTTGCTATGTCTGATTCTTTCCCTTCACGGGTTAATTGTCACTTGGATTATAAAGCGCGGATTGTAGAAAGAAAAGAAACTCGAAAGATCTAATATATTCAAACTTTTGATAAGAACAAAACTATAAAATGACTGACCACTTTGCATTATGATGGGAACCGGCTCAAGGCATGATGCTCTTGGTGTCATTTGTAAATATCGAATAGTTACAGTATAAAACTGGAAAGTCTTAGATAGCTAAACATGTTGATAGCTTCATTTCCCTATCTAATATGAAACCCTTTATTCTATCCTAGCGACGTCGGTACGGTTGTACAGCGGTCTGATCAGAATCTTTGGTAGCCGTTGAATTGCTGTCCCTGATCGCCTTTCACAAAGCGGTTTCTTCCGTCAGACAGGTCGTTTCTGTTGCTTCTATAGCTTTCTCGTGGTGTTTTCGGCTGCTGAAGTGATTCTGTAAACGAAAAAAATTTACATTTCAAAACAGTTGTTGTAAAATCAGATTTTTTTTAAAGAGACAAACATGGTGCATGGTGGGGTTAGGTTGCCTCTAGAACCCGGGGGGTACACCCTGGCCAGCGGCACGTCCCCGTATAGCAAATATATGGGAGTACCCCCCCCCCCCCCCCAGAACAGTGATTAGAGT